AATTTGTGAAGGGAAGAAGCATCCTTACTGCGGCTTCTGTGCTTAAACATTGTTAGAGAGTGAATCACATTCTATTTTTGTACTAGGAGTGTCTTCGGTTTAACAAAATTCCCCAGTGTGTCTCTGAGTGAAACAGAGACTTTATCATAAAGGAAATAACATCTCAAATTCAGAGATTGTAAGCTGTTGGCCCCACGGACTTTTGTTAGGTCTGTAGAGTGGCTAAAGAAAATTGAACCAACATTTAAAACTCAGCAGGTATCACATAAAAGTCTGGATTTCTGGCTGCCCTTGACTTGGACATGGGCATGTATCTCCACATGGTGAAGATGGGAAGGAGGGAGGAAGGCGAGTAGAGGCTTCCTGCCTTATGGGTTCTCCCTTTCTTGTCAGTTATGCCTGGCCAGCTTCCCGCTTTTACCTGACCCCCCGGGCCCTCCTGGCATCTGAGTTTCATGCAGTGGTGCGATCTCGGCTCACTGCAACCTCTACCTCCTGGGTTCAAGTGATTCTCCTGCCTCAGCCTCCTGAGTAGCTGGGATTACAAGCACATACCACATGCCAGGCCAATTTTTGTATTTTCAGTAGAGATAGGGTTTTGCCATGTTGACCAGGCTGCCCTCGAACTCCTGACCTCAAGTAATCCACCCACCTTGGCATCCCGAAGTGCTGAGATTACAGGCGTGAGCTACCACACCCAGCCTCCTAACTGATCTGTTTTTAGAACCAGGATTCTCCCATAGTGCGTAGAGTTTGCTTAGGGCAGTCATCTGGAAATCCTTTGAAGTTAGGCTGATACCTGAGATCAGGTGAGCTTTCTACCAAACACTGTGCTTCCATAGTCTTCCAATCATTGTTTTCTAGGAACCCATTCAGGCCAGCTCAAATATTAGGGACTTTGGGTATGTGAGACTATGGAAATGGCTCAGAAGTGAAAGTCAGCTAGAGTGAACTGTGTAGGGTTTCTCCCTCAGCCCAGTCACTTCCCTCTTCTTTCACACACCTACTCCTGTGTCAGAGTGGGCCGTACCATCCTGGTCTTCAGAAAAAGAACCAGGCATAGCAGATTCAAGAGGGAAAACGTCAGTCACTCTCCTGACCAGGGGGATGGGATCTAGGAGAGGATGTGAGGTGGAGTCCAGAGGGCGCTACCCATGCCTTTGAGTATGGATCTGATGCCACTTGTGAAATGAAAGGTGTGTGGGTCAAGTGGGCCACTAAGTGAGGCCTTATATCTGTCCCCTCTCAAAGACATTTTCCTCTTTAGCATCTGGTGAGGGGAAGTGTGGGAACACAGGAGGTCAAGGCTGCAGAGAGCTGAGATTGCACCCCAGCATGGGTGACAGAGCGAGACCCTGTCTCAAAAAAACTATGCCAAATAAACAAAAAAGAAACATGGGAATGGTTAGAATAAATGGGTAGATTCATAAGCAGAAAAACTTTGAAGCTGCTACCCCCAGCTACACGTATCTAGAGCTATATATAGGGGACCGTACAATACTATCTGAAATGCAGGAGCAGTTCTCTTCCCATTTTAGCAAATCAGCTCGGAACCTTTGTTCACAAACCTAAATGAACGAGACACAGCATGGCTCTTTGTTTTCTTCAAATCAACTTTCAGCTCCTTGACACACTTGGTCTCTGCCACCTCCTGGCTGTGCAAGCTTGGGCAATTCCCGAACCTCTTCGAGTCTGATTTCTCATTTGCAAAGTGGGTGTTACGGACTGAATTATCTCCCCTCAAAATTCATGTATTGAAGTCCTAATTCCCAATACCTCAGAATGTGACCTTATCTGGAGATAGGGGCTCTAGACTACATATCGGGTACAGTGTACACTGCTTGGGTGATGGGTATACCAGAATCTCAGAGATCACCACTATAGAACTTATCCATGTAATCAGAAACCACCTGTACCCCAAAAACTATTAAATAAAAAAAAAGAAGTGATGATGTTAAAATGAGGCCTTAATCCAATCTGACTGGTGTCCTTGGAAGAGGAAATTCAGACATTCAGAGAGACAGCAGGAATGCACACAGCGAGGAAAGACCACATGGGGATGCAGTGAGAAGGCGGCCATCTGCAAGCCCAGAGAGGTCTCAGGGGAAACCAAACCTGCCAACACCTTGATCTTGGACTTTCAGCTTCCAGAACTGGGCAAATGAGCGTCTGTGGCTGAAGCCGCCCAGTCTGTGATATTTCGTTAGAGCAGCCTGGGCAGATTAACCTAGTGCGTGCCAGCACTCCTTCATGGAGGGCTATGGGATAAAATAGAGGACATGAAGTGCGCTGGACAGGGCACAATACATCTTAGGTGTTCAGCAAAGGAGAGCTCCCTTTTCAAGAAGCCTTCACAGAAAGCTTCAGCTCACAGTGCTTTTATCAGATTGTCTCTTGCACTCCTTCTGTTTATTTGATTGATGAATCATTGCCCCTTAAGCACTGATTGAGCTCTGTGGTCTCATTGTTGGCTTCTGGCAATGGGTGGTCTGTGCAACCACATAATTTGCTGCTCTGGCACTTCCAAAACCAGAAGCTAGAGCTGGTGCTCAGAGAAGAGCTGCCCCATGGTAGTGAGTGTCTGTCACTGGCTCTTTCTGGGGCAGAGGGAAGCTCCTGAAACCCTGCCCTCCCCATCTCCTCCACCAAGGGTCCCCCTGCTCAGCACTTTTTGTACGGCTTCCTGGTGGCTGTCTTCCAAGGCCTACTTTCTGCCCCAGGACCTTACAAAGGCTGCTTTGATGAAAAGTTTGAGGCAAAGTGACTGTGTCATTTGATACAAGAGGCTCAAGGGGGTAAAAAGTGTAGCTTTCTTCTATTTTTGGATTTTCTAGCCCAAAGGAGAATCATCAGCTGAATGGGGCTGGGGCGGAAGCCAGGAGCAGAGAGAGGAAATGCCCCCAGGCTGGAGAGCCCCTGTGATTAGCAGCTGGAAGCCTAGAGCGTGACCTGCTTGTGAAGAGGAGCCTGTGCAGCCAGACTCTACATCCAGAGCTGGTAGGCGTGCAGGGGCCACTCCCTGGGGGTCACCAGACTCACTTCCTCCAATGGCCTGATCCCTCCCTCCCTCCTGCTGATGGAGTACAGGCCAAGGACAGTCACTCTCAGGGTGGGATTTGAGAGGCACCACAAAAGCCCCTTACCCCTGGGGTCCCCGTCATCCACCGCCAGGGTAGTGGCACGGGGCCCTGCACTCAGGGGGCGCTCTGCACCTAGCTTAATGCTCGGCTGTCACTGTCGTGGAATTCTTGATGTTTTTGAATAAGGGACACTACATTGTCCTCTTGCACCGGGCCACACATTCTGGAGCACAATCTCCCCACCTCTCCCAGTCCTTGAAATTCAGGTTGGCAATCACTTCCCTTCCCTGCTCTCGCTGATACCGCTCATCTGTGTAGCTCCTCATTCACTACCAGCCTCCACCTCGTTATTCACTAATTGTCACTACAACCCTGTGAGGGGCTGACATCTCTCTCGGACTTGTGGCCCTTTGTAGGCTTTGCCCCACAAGCCCAGGCCTTTTGATGCCACCCCTTTGCTCTCTTTGAGAATCAAAGATGCCTACCTCCTGACGCTATCTGTAATCCCCTCCTACTTAAGTGTAAGAAATTTGCAAGTCCGAAACCCATCCTCCACTTCACTCTTAAGAGCCTACAGAGCCCTCTGAGGATGCTTAATAAATACTGACTAATGAACCTGCAGCTGCTGCTCCTTTGGCTAATTAAATCTAAGTAAGTCACAGACTTTGAATTATGCAACAAGGCTTGGCCAAAACAGCTTAAAAATGTGGGATCCCTAGCTTTTCTGCTGTGCCCTGTGGAAAAATCCCATCTTTTAATCATGCTTAACCTTCCTGAAGAACAGCAGCAACCTTTAAATAATGAATGAATGCATATTAGCAAGATTTCCCCAAAGCTACACAAGGGAGTCAGATCAAAAAAGGGACAGAGGCATACACAGGCCTGGGGGGATTCTGGAGCTTTCTGCTCAGTCCTGGCCTGCAGGGTGAAGTCATTTGGTTCCCCAGAAGCCCAGAGCATGAACTGGTGAAAGGGAGGAGGGGCAGATGTGCTACCCACAGGCACAGCTTCCTGATGTGGCACAGCAAGCTCCTTCCACCCTCAACCTGAGGCAGAGGTTAATGGAGACCCCATAGCACTTCTGAAGGGCCATACACTCAGTTGTTCTCCCTCTCATTCCCTGAGAAGACCCTCCTGGCCAAGAGCATTGTCTTCACAAAGAGGAAAAAAAATTTTTCCTAGAGTCTTGCTCTGTCCCCTAAGCTGGAGTGCAGTGGCACTATCACAGCTCACTGCAGACGCAACCTGCCAGGCTCAGGTGATCCCCCCTTCTCAGCCTCCCGAGTAGCTGGGACCACAAGTGCATGACACCATACCTGGCTTTTTTTTTTTTTGGTAGAGATGGGATCTCCCTATCTTGCCTTGGCTGGTCTTGAACTGGGCTCAAGTGATCCTCCTTGGCCTCCCAAATTGCTGAGATTACAGACATGAGCCACTGTGCTAACCCAGGACAGATTGAATTGAGTCTTATCACCTAAAGTAGGCTTCCCAGACTTTAAGATGCATATGAATTGCTGGGGGTACTGTCAAACCACATCTGCTTCAGTGGGTCTGGGATGCTGCATTTCCAAGACTCAGATGCTGCTGATCACACAAAGAGCAAGGATTTAGGTTTTTCAACCCTGATTGCAGATTAGAATCAACTGGGGCATTTGTAAAGCTAACAAATCTACTCTGGTTGCCATCTCAGATCAATTAAGTCATGATTTCTCAAACAACCTCAAGACTTTGGTCCTTTTTTCTGAGTTAGAGTCCAGATAATTTAAAAGTCACCCAAATGAAGCCTAGAAAGCTTAACTGACTTGCTTACAGTCATCTGCTAAATTGGGACTAGAAATAGACATGGCAGGAAAGTGGCCTTTGGAATCAAGCCTTAACCACACCCCCCGCCCCGCCCCCATCTCCCCAACTGTAGTCCTGACCTTGCTCCCTAAATGATATTCCATTTAGGGAGCAGGAAAGATTCTCCCATCTTTCTCTCCCTAAGTCTGCCTGAAGCTTTACTATTAATGCTTCATTATTTGGGCTGAAGCTTAGTGGTCCTTTGCAATGACCGCCATCTCTTATACATAGTCTTCAGCAACTTGAGGTCTGTGGGCTGATCAGAGTCCCCTGACTGGCTCTCTGGGCTCTGTTCTGTGGGATCTGGGATCAGGAAGGGGAGGGGCTCTGGAGTTCAACGTGCCTCCCCTTGCAGCTTTGCTGAGGGCACACAGCACAGAGAGAAGTGCCCTTCCCAGGCTGCTGCCCTGGTTGTGTCAGGTCATGGGGCTTCAGGCAGAGGTCAGGAGGATGAAGGCAGAGTGGCTCCAGGCGTGTGACCAGGGAAAACCAAGACCTCCCTGCTGTGGTATGTAGTACTCTTCCTTAAAGCCGAGTGCAGCAGTGACCAGGCCCAGATTGGCAACAACTGTGCTCCACCCGATGGTTTCAACCCCACCAAAGGCTTTCTGGTTCAGCAGCTCAGGAAGCGAGTGGGAGCTGGGCCTCAGGAAGTAGGGATGGTACACCAGTTATTTGCTTATTCGGTATCTCCCTCCTTCACTCATACTACCAGAATTCTAATTTTGCTCAAGGCTGCAACAGTGTCCATGCAAAAAACCTTACCACCTCAGACACCCTGCAGATAGGAGCAGCAGCCACATGACCTTAGTTTGACCAATGGCGCGTAAGCAGAAGTCTCTGGGTTGGGCTTCCTGAGAAGCTTTTAAAAGGCAGCTCCTTTTCTGACCTGGAGTAGTGGGTCTGGTACCTGGAGCTGCTTCAGTCGACTTGACGCCATTAGGCCGGAAGCTATGGGCTGAGGATAAGAGCCCTGTGCCAAAGGTGGTGGAGGAAGGCACCACCTGGGTCCTCTATGACTTCCTAGAGCTGTTTCACCAGCCGTGAACTGACTACCTGGGACTTTTTGGTATGTGAGAAACATAAACCTCTATTTGGTTAAGACACTGCAGCTGGATTTCTTTTACAGCTGAATGTAATCCTCAAACTCAGGACCTTAGAAAGTTTCTGGTCTGGAAACGGGAAGGTCCAGGCAACAAAGTGGTCTCCAGGAATTAAAGGAGAAAGGCTTTTACTTATCTGTTTGTTTTGAATTACAATTCCACTCTACAATCTTTAGTTTGTTCTTTATTTCCCAAGGGATTATGTTTATATTCCTCAGACCAACATTTCAGGCTCTCTAAAACTTAGCCCCAAATGAATTTTCCAGGCTTGTTACCTTTTACAACATTCCCTGGAGCAAGAGTGACCTTTCTCCCCTGGATACACATTACACACTCCCAGCCTGATCTTCATTTGTGTGAGGTATCCCTCCTGATTTCCACCTACCCTACCTACCCTTGTGAGCTTACCTACCCTTGTGAGCTCATCTTTCAAGAAGACTTCCTGTATCACCCTGGACTCTTCTATGATCTCGTTTGTAACTGAGGTCTGTATGCTGATAGCTGCTTTACATTTTTTTGTGTGTTAAACTCATTTCTCCAGCAAGGTTGTGAGATCCTCCTAAGGCAGGCTTTTGGGAGCAGGGTAACATGGAAAGAACATGTGCTCTGGGATGATCTCGGTTAAGTCTAACCTCTCTGAACCTCGGTATCGTTGCCTGTGAAACGGAGATAATATGCATTTCTACCTGCAGGGTTTTGGTGATGATGGCCTCCTTAGGAACTTAGGGTGCAAGGAATGTTAGCATTGGTGTTAAAGAGGCGCTTGTACCTTGGCTTGTTGCGTGGCTGGTTAACTGCTTAGCTGAGCCTTTTCCCCTCCCTCCTCCCTCTCTCTCTCTCTGTCTGTCTGTCTCTCTCTCTCTCTCTCTCTCTCTCGATTTTTCTGGTTTGCATTTGGGAGTGGCCATGAGTTGTCTCATTTTCCTAGAGGGCAGATCTTAGGCTACTGGCTTCAATGTTCAAACACAATAGGGAAGAGTAGATTTCATGCTTATGTCGAAAGACGTAGGATGAGATGCTCACTTAACTGCTCATAGGAGTTCACTTGTTCTGAAGATCAAGAAAATGAATGTATTTAAGCTAGTTTTACCTGGCAACAGATGGATGGATTAAATGACCTTATAGCACTTGTGTCTGGGTTTGTGTGTGTGTTTTAAAAATGCCCAGTTCTGTCTGCTGAAAGAAGGTAAACAGGTGGAACTTAAATTTTTTGCCATCCTGCTCTTCATCTCTCTCACCTCACCCCATGGGGCAGAAACCCAGATCAAATAAAATGATTGGAAGAAGTGACCCCATAGCACAACATCCCATCCTTGAAAGTTTAATGAGAAATGACACTTTTATCACTTCCAAATTAAGTACCTGTCACATGCCACTATCAATGGGGAGGGATATATGGAGTTGGGTGGAAAATGAGAAGTCACCATGGACTTAAATGGTATGATAATGTGTGCTGACATTGAAGTCCCAAGGCGGTCATTGTTTTTTTTGCGTGATTTTACTGAGAGTCCCTCGAGAGCCCAATGAAACAGAAACTTATTCTCTTGTCCCTCTTAAGGCAGAGCCCTATGCCAGAGGAGAGAAGGGGTCAACAAAGACTTGATTAATTGCACAGCTGTGTTCGGCCTCGTTCAGTTTGCCACATCATCACTAAAGTGTCCTGTGGCACAGCCAGCCATCATGGCTGGCTGCTGGGCTCAGAGCAGCTGACAGTCTGCAAGGCCTGTGTGTGTGTTGGGAGGAGGGGTTGGTGTCTCGGGGATGCGAACCCCTTTTCTTTGTTGCATACATGCGGGGCAGCTTCACTTTGTGCCTGACCATGAGCCCTCTGGTCTTCCAAGTCTGTTCCTGTGGGAATTTGAGGGGCTGTGAACCTCTCTACTGTGGACAACTGTATACTTGTTTTGTATCTCTGTGTCAGTGTATTTCTTTCTGGGTTAGCTTTTCTGAATTTTTGTGAGTCTGTTCTTGGGTTAGTAGGTAAGCGCATGTGCCAACTTTTTTTCTTTTTCCCTTTCCAGCTTTCCAATAGAGTAGAACTAATGATGTCCTCTGGGCCCAATCAGGCACTTAATTCCTCCTTCCCTATGTCCCCTAGAAGAATGCCTTTATTTTGCCACATGCCTTACCCAGGGGATACGCAGCTCAGTGATACGGATACCCCTTGTCCACCGGGTTCAGCTAGGCCTATGCCAGGCTCCCTGGAGCTTCACTGCCTCTCCTTTTTAACCATACGCTGTCTCAAGTCCAGCTGTGTACAAGTCTGCTCAGGCCCAGTGCTAAATGAAGCCTGGCCAGTGGCCTGGTGATGGTATCCTGCCATGTTGGCACAGCTGGAGAGAGCTTGGGAGTCTTGGCTCCTGTATTAGTTTCCTGTGGTTGGTGTAACAAATTGCCATAAACTTAGCGGCTTAAAATAACACAGACATATTCTCCTAACGTTCTGGAGGTCAGGAGTCTAACGTGGGGTGGAAGGGCGGGGCCCCCTCTGGAGGCTCTAGCAGAGAATCCATTTATTGCCTTTTCTGGCTTCGAAAGGCTTCCCACATTCCCTGACCCACAGCTCTGCATCATTCCGACCCCTGCTTCCATGGTCACATCTGTCTGACTCTCACCCTCCTGCTTCCCTTTTATAAGGGTCCTTGTGACTACCACGGGCCTACCTGGATAACCCAGGATCATCTCCCCATTGCAAGGTCCTTAACTCAATCACATCTCAGGCTCTTTTGCCATGTAAAGTAACATTCATGGGGATTAGGACATGGAGATCTTTGCAGGAGATGGGGAGTGGGGGCTGTTCCCAAGCAGACCACAGGTTTTCCTGTGGGATCTATGAACATGAGTGGATGTGAAACCCAGGCCAGCTTGGTCATGGTGTACTTCTGTGGTTTTAGAAAGGTGTTCTAAACCCTCCTTCCCTGCAGATACCTCCCTGACCTGCTAACATTTGAAATCTTCCTCTTGGGACAAAGAATCATGTCCACAGTGAGAACTCAGGCTCTGCCTAAGGGGCATGAACATGTTTCTTCACTCTCAAGTGGAAATGCTGGGCAGCAGGGCCCTTCCTAAGAGTGGATTCTGATTGGACAGAGGCACAAAGTGAAAAAAGGAGGTGCTGGGAGGCTGAGATCACGCACTGATAACACTCTAGCATGGCAGGGGTGAGGGTCCCAGTGATGGAGAGAGCAAAGGCACTTGGAAGTATGACCAGAGCGTTTTAATCAGACAGAGCAAAATGGTCGCGATGCAGAACAAATAGTGCTTGGAGAAGAGAAAGAAGACCATCTCCTTGGTAACATAGATGATGTGGATGAAGATGAAGCAGTACAGGAACATGGCAAACTGGTTCTGGGGCAGCAGGAGGTCCTGGAGGCCTCCTGAGAACTGTAGGGGAGAGAAGACAGTGGAGCTGGTGACGCCAGTCTTAGCACCAGGCAGATCTAGGTTCAGTCCTGCTCTGTGCCTGCCTGTAGGTGACCTCAGGTCATCATCTTCATCTAAGGAAGGGGCAATAGTACCCTTTACAAAAACATCATGAGGCCTGGGCATGGTGGCCCATACCTATAATCCCAGCACTTGGGGAGGCCAAGGTGATAGGATTGCTTGAGGCCAGGAGTTCAAGACCAGCCAGGGCAACATAGTAAGACTTCTGCCTCTACAAAAAATTTTTTAAATTAGCCAAGTGTGGTGGTGTGTGCCTATAGTCCCAGCTATTGGGAGGCTGAAGTGGAAGGATCACTTGAGCCCAAGAGTTTGGGGTTATGGTGAGCTATGCTGATGCCACTAACTTCAGCCTGGGTGAGAGAGCAAGATCCTGTTTCTAAAAAAATTTTTTAAAAACCCCAAAAGATCACAAGGAGGAAAAGTGAGATAATGAAACATTCCTAGTCAGGTAACTACCACATAGAAGTAACTCATTACTTTTTACTTTTTTGAGCTGCTCTTATCCCTCCTGACTGGGCGCCAGGCCACCACCTTCCTTTCTCTTTATGCTCCATACTGCCCACTGGAGCCCATGCATGGGCCTTCTCTCCTGACTCCAGGAGCCCCACATCTGGATGCTGGGTCTTGGGCGTGTTCTCTGCCAGTGCCCGAATATTCAACCTAGTTTCTTGGACAGTGGCCCAATGGAGAGGGTTTCCCTTGCATGTGAACAACTGTTTCTGACTCCCTGGGTCCTGACACGGATCACGTGGGTCAGTCTGTGGCCTTTCAGTCCAGGGTTTGGTCTCTCCTGGAGGCAGGTGCTGAGAGATGGGTGATGGGGTCTCCCTAAACTTTCAGAGTATTGGGCTGGGGGAAAGCAGCTTGAGTTGTCTGGCTAATTCTGCCTGCGAGTTGCTCTTTTCTTGAATCTATATAATTGGGGTCCAAGAGTCTTCATTTTAACTGTAGAAAGTATCGATGCCATAAGTAAGGCAAAAGATCTTATTTTGATCCATAGTTAAGAGGGCATAACCCATGGGTTATGTTTTAAAATATTTTTAAAAATCATGCCATATTTTTGGAAAACACCAGGCGGCAGGGACCAAGATGCCCTAAACTAGCTAGAAACATACTCAGAGGTATTTTCAGTTCGATAAATTCTATCTGTCCATCCATCTATTCACCCACCCAGAAAAAGAGAAGTCTTCAACATCAAGTCAATTCTCCAATTTTTAGTAAGTGCACAAAAAGTAAATACTTTTGTAAACTATCACCAAAGGCTGGGGGATGGGAAGCATCACTATTGAAAGAGCTACATAAAATGTGAGGGCAACTAAACAAAGCTGAGGGGACAGGAAATGACTCTGGTGATGCTGCCTTGAAAGTGAATAGCTAGGAAGGTTGGGTCCAGTGTTCTAGTGGGAGTGGAGGGCGGGACTGACCCCACGATTCTCTGCAGGCTCAGGAGGGCTCTGGACCCATGGACTTGGCCACTTCTCTGCAGTCTGTATGTGTTTCAGTCTGAAATGCTGATGGGTGATTATTATGACTTTCATTTTAAAAATGTGTTAATGAAACTCTTTACTTTTCAAAATACTTTCAATGTTCTAGTTTTTGAGCAGAAGCGAGAGATAGGACTATATACCGAAGATTTCCGTCTCATCCAGCAAGAAGAAATATTTTCAAACTAAAAAATAAATACAGTTAGGAGGAGACACAGGCCAAAGGCATAGTTACAATATCATATCTGCTTTAAATTCTTGCAGGCTCCACTTTGTGACAGATTTTATCCCAGGCTACTGAGAAAAGTCACAAGTTTTGAAATGTAGCTTAGAATTCAAAAATATTAGGAAATGTGCCAAAGTCTAAGCAATAGGCCAATATTTTCTAGACTTTCTAGAAGGGGGTGGGGGCAGGGGAAGATTCTGGAAATCTCAGTTCAATAAGCTTGACTACATTTAGTGAAATCATTTTGTGTATAATGAAGCTGGTATTTTGTGAACAGGAAAACAGATCATTGTTTAAGAAGCCAGCATGTGTTCACTGAGAACAAATGATGCAAAGCCAACCTTACTTTCTTAAAAAAACACAAACAAACAAACCTCACCAGTCAATTGGGGAACTGCTATAGGTAATGTAATATCTTAATTTTGGGAAACCATTTGATGGTCTCAGTTTTTTAGATAAGGTGGAGAACTGTGAGCAAGATAAAATGTAACTCAAGGGTGGTGACTAATGGAGCATTGCTAACCTATAGGGAGACGTTTAGTGGTATTTACTTTAGGTCATGTCCTCCTCAACAATTACAGCAATGTCTTGGATAAAGGCAGAAGGCATGGTTCTCAGAATTGAGGATGACTCAGAGCTGGGAAGCACAGCTAATACATCACATCCCAATAAAACTGAAAAGTGACAAACGTATGTTGTTGCATTTGGGTCAAGAAGTGAATTGCATGAGTACATAAAATGGTAATAGCTAACATTTACTGAGTGCTTACCTAATGTGCTGGGCTCATTGCAAAGTGTCTGCGTGTGTGCTCTCATTTAATCCTCATAACAACCCCGTGAGGTAGGGTACTTCACCAATGAGAAGGCGATTGCTCAAAGGAGATTAGTAATGTTCCTAATGTCAGGCAGTTTATACCTGGTATTTTAACCCAGGACTGTCTGACTTAAAGCCCAGGAAATACTGCTTTAAACAGTAACATCTTCCACTATTGAATGCTTATGATCACCCAGTCACTGTGCTAAGTTCTTCACATCCCATTTAATCTCAAGTAGACATTCTTATCCCACATTTAATACACATTAGGGGAGAGTGGTGCACATCTTGTGAAAAGATGGCTGTTTCGGTTGACTAGAAGGCAGCATGATCCAGCAGAATAAACACAGCCCTGATCAGGGAGGTGATGGTTCTATCAAAATCCACTGGTCAGACTACAGTGGGGATTCTGGGTCTAGTCTCCAGGCATCAAATTTTAAGAGCTGCAGAGAGGACTTGTGAGGGGTAGAAGAAGGAGGAAGTGTTGAAGACTTTTCCCTGAAGCTACCAAAAGGGCTGTTGGGTGGGCGATGTGGTTCTGGGTCCCCTCCCAGCCTCAACTCTCCTTAGAGAGTCATATCTCAGTTTTGCGTGGAAGCTCTGTTTAACAGAACTGGCCAGGTAGGGTAGTGGGCTTTAAGGCAGTGAGCGGCCATCTCTGGAAGTGAGTGACCCAAGTGGGAGAGGGCTGGAGACCATCCCATGTGGATGGTCAGCCCTTGCAGCCGAGATCCAGGATCTGCAGGGTGGGATGCTGCACAAAGCAGGGAGCCCCAGGCCTCCCTTCTCCCAGTGCCCAGCTCCTTGTCACCCACCAGGTGGGGTGCTGCCTCCCTCTGCAGCTGCTCCATCACCACCTCATGCTGCCGCTGCCGCTCATTCTCCTCGTGCAGGTACTTCAGCCGCGTGAGCTCAAACTCCATGCGCACCTTCTCCAGCTCCATCTCGGCATTGTGCTCAGTCCCAGGGGCTGGGGGCAGCTCTGTGGGTTTGGGTCCATCACCCACCTGGCCTTTGGTGGCAGGGCAGGACTTGGGGGACAGAGATTTAGGTGGCCCTGGATAGCCTCCATCCTCACAAGCTTCCATCTCTTCCAAGTGGTCACAGGAGGATTCTGGCTTCTGGGACTCTGCCTCCTGGGGCAGGGAAAGCAGGGAGGGGAGGGACCATGAGAAGTCAGGATGGGGCTCTCCCTGACCCCATGGAACTCCTGTAGCCTCAGGCCACAGTAGACAGGGATGTTTGAAAGAGTGTCTGAATTGTAAACATCTAGGCTGAATTCTTATTAGAAGTGCTCTTGCCCAGAGTTGTCAGGACCGAAGGGTCAAGGAGGAGAGGGCAAACTAGTACCAAGTCATGGTACCCTAAAGTTGCAGGTAGAGGCACTGGGAGTTGAGGAGATGGATGTCTATCTTTCTAGGGATTTTTCATATCATCAAAGAGGCAACTTCTGGGCCCATCCTCAACCCCACCTGACTTTGAGAGACCAGTTAGATGCCAGGTTTTCAGGAAGTTACACAGAGAGAAAGAAACCCAGGGTCTGAGTTGAGAGAACCTAAATATTTGGGGACCAGCAAGAGGGCTATGGTGGGGAGCGAAGTCCTATCCACCCAGCAAGGAAAGGGCCCTAAGTTGGGAGGGAGATGGAGGAGACCAAAGCCAGCTTCACGTGACTTCACAATCTTATGGAGGGCAGTCTGGTTCTTGGTGACAGCTGGGTGCCAGTTACAGGGGTGGAGTCCATGTCACCTGATGTTCTTGGCAGCTGTCTGGAACCTCAAAGCACTCAGCTCCTATCATGTGTTCCTACAGTATTCTTACTCCCCCTGATGGAATAGGCAGGGGTAGTGAGGCCCAGCAGCCCCCTTACCAGATAAGCCCTTGGCTTCCCTTCAGACTTGCAGTCACCAGGCACCATCTTGGGGAAGGTCAGGCAACTTTCTCCCGCACCCCGGGCTTCCATCATCTCCCTGTCTTCTGTTGCCATCCAGAGAACCAGAATGCTGCCAGGTGGGGCCACAGGACCTCATTTGAGGTGCTGACATTTGGCCTCACCAGAGTCCACAGACTAGCCACCATCACAATCCCCTGTCCTCATAATAACTGACATTCTAGAAGTTGCTAGGGCCCCTTGGGTAGAGAGTGTAACACCTTTGAGGTTCTAACATTAAGAACTGCAAGATGGGCCTTTCCTGTCTCTGAGGACTGCTTTAAAAATTAGAGTTCCACCTCGTGAAACTCAGAATTCCAGCATTTGAAATCTATTCCCTTGGTTGGGTTCCTTTTTTAAATGAGGATTGTGTTGGGATGAGTCACGGCCCCACAAACCCTGTTGTGGGCTAAACTGGGTCCCCCTCTCTTCCCAAAATTTGTATGTTGAAGTCTTAACTCCCAGCCCCCACTAACTCAGAATGTGAACTTATTTGAAGACAGGGTCTTCGTAGAGGTGATTACGTTACATTGAGATCATGAGGATGGGATCCTAATCCAGTATGACTGTGTCCTTGTGAGAAGAAGGCAATGTGAAGACAAGGAAGAAAATGGCCATCTACAAACCAAGGAGAAAGGCCTTGTAGGTTCTCCAAAGAAACAGAACATAAAATGACATTTATTACAGAGTTGGCTCATGCCATTATGGAGGCTGAGAAGTTTTATGATCTCCCATCTGCAAGCTGGTGCCACAGGAAAGTGGGTAGTATCAATTCCAGTCTGAGTGCAAAGACCTGAGAACCAGGAGCACTAATGGTGGAAGTCTCAGTCCGAGGGCAGGAGAAGACTGACGGTTCACCTCATTGTAGTCAGGCAATTGAGAGCCCCAATTCAACCGCAATCTGCCTTGTTTCATTTAGGCCCTCAATGGATTGGATGAAGCCCATCCACACTGAAGAGGACAGACTACTTTACTCAGTCCACCAATTCAAATGCTAATCTCTTCCAGAAACACCCAGAAAGATGGTTTCATCAGAGATCTGGCCATCCAATGGCTCAGTGATGTCAACATATAAAATGAACCGTCACAGACCAGGAATAGCTCATTCTCTCACAGCACTCAGAAGGAACGCACCCTGCTGCCACCTTGATCTCTGATGTCAAGTCTCCAGGATTGTGAGAAAATACATTTCTGTCATTTACACCAACCAGTCTGGTTCTTACAGCAAACCTAGGACACTAATACAACCTGTCATCCATCCTCCCACGTGGGCAGAATGAAGGGCTGGGGAATGTATTTTGTCATCTTCCATTTTGTGAAAACCGCAGCGAAACATCTTCGGTAGTTGAAAGCAGGATTGCAATATGCAAAGACAAAGGGCTGCATTTGAATTCCAGCTTTGCTACTCTCTCTAGCTGTGCGACCAAGGGAAAGTGTAGTCATTTGTAAATGGGATAAAGATTTAGCCACTTCCCTATGTTGCAGCACCGATTTGAAAATTAGATAGGGTCTTTAGCCCACGAGCTGCCCATATAAGGACTAACTAGGCAAACGATAGCCATGATCGCCATTATTGTAAGGGGTGGATTTGCCACTGCAGAGAAGAGAGTGCTCAAGGTTTACTTTCTGTCCTTGCAAATCTTTCCCCTCGCAGCATTGTGGTGGTGACCATGCAAACGATCACAGCTGTTGTGTAAGATATCCTGCTCAAGCACTGGGAGTAAAACTGCCAGATAAATACAGGATGCCCAGTCAAATTTGAATTTTAAATAAATAATTTTAGTATAAATATGTTCTAAAGATTGCACAGGACACATTTCTACTAAAAAATTATTTGTCTGAGATTCAAATTTAACTGGGCATCCTGTATTTTTATTCATTAAACCTGGCAATCTTAACCAGGAGAGATCTGCCCAGAGGAACAATTATTTGACGTATGAACACATAGTCCACTGCTGTTAAATCACCAAGTACGGAAATGCACAGCAGGTACTATGGGTGGTTGTCAGCTATAGGTCAAACAACCCTAAATGCTCAGTGGCTACAGCAATAAACATTTCCTTAGCTCAGACATTTAAGGATGGACCGATTTAAGCCGGATTCAACTGGGGGAGCTTGGCCAAGGCAGCTTTGTTTCACGTGCTGCTTATCTTCTCTTGGGAATAGTGGGCTAGCCTGGGCACACCCTTTGCTCAGGGATGGAAGAAGTACAAGAGGCCTTGGAGCTGGCACACCATCGCTTCCGTCTTAAGTTATTGGAGAAAGCCAGTTGTATGGCCAAACCCAAAGTCAAAGGATGGTGAAATGTGCTCTGCCCAGTTAGTGGGAGGAACCACAAAGACAGATAAAAGTTCTGGATAAAGGGGATGAAGCATTGGGGTCAATCAGGCAATGTACCATAGGAGTTAAGAGGTCAGGGCTCAGGGTCTCACGCCTGTAGTACTTTGTGAGGCTGTCTAGAGGATCGCTTGAGCCCAGGAATTCAAGATCAGCCCAGGGAACATAGTGGGAATCTACCTCTAACTCCCCCTAAAAATTAGCTGGGCATGGTAGCATGTACCTGGGGTTCTACCTACTTGAAAGGCAGACGTGGGAGTATCGCTTGAGCCCACTGAAGTGACCTATGATCACGCCACTGCACTTCAATCTGGGTGACAGAGTTGGACTGACTCAAAAAACAAAACCAAAAACAAACAAACAAACAAAAAGACCAAAGGATCAGTGCTGATACAGTTGGTAGCTGGGGAAGGTTTGGTGGAACAGAGAACGTGAGGGGTGGGTGGGATCTGGGTGAGGGGAAAGGATCAGCATGAGCAAAGTGTCAATTGATCCTCATAATCTGCTGCCTTTCTGTTTCTGCTTTCTGCCCTTCCCCTGGGAGGCAGACCTCCATCAAAGTGCACTAATTCATTAAGCAAAGCAATGTATTCCAAAGCAACACACAGTCTAGCATTCTCGTTTCCCTGTCTCCAGACATCTGTCCTTTAGAGAACTTTGCAGAAGTTGAGGAGACAAGTTTTATGAGCTTTGGGTTGGTGTGGCACTGGTGAAAAGAGCTTCTGCTTCCTCTGTTGAGCTCAGAGAAAGGAAGTTTATAGTAAAGCCATATGCTAGGGTAAGAGAGACAGGATCACATGGGAGCCCAGCAACAGGGACAAGGGCTGAGCTAGCCTCATAGGGACTGTGCTGGATTCAGGGCAATTCTGGGGACCAGCAGCCAGAGTTGGTGCACTTTCACATGCGCCTTGCCATTGGTATAACTCAGCGGCTTCTGGCGTTTCTGCTTCTCTGTGTCCCCTGACTTCTCACCAACAGCCTTCCTCACCCCCGCCTCGCCAACCCCAACCTCATGCTTCACTATATGCAAGGTCCCTGCTTCCTCCCAATTTCAGCTTACTCATAACTTCAGCTTCTAATGGTTCGTCATGGCCCCAAATGTACAACTTCTCTGTATGTCTTCTGTGTTGTGTTTGTCCTACCTGAGTCACTCACGATTTCCTGGTAGACCTTTCCAAGGGCAGGAATCAGAATGACCTGGCTTATCTCCACTAGGGCAGAGCTTTTCATTCTAGGGCAGCCTGTTGCTGGGCTCCCATGTGATCCCATCTCCCTTACCCCTGCAAATGGCTTTACTATAAACTTCTTTCTCTGAGCTCAGTGGAGGGGGCGGAGGCTCTTTTCACACTGTCACCAGTGCCAAACCAACCCAAGGCTCAGGCAGTTGCCCTAACTTCTGGGAAGTCCCCTAAAGGACTGGTATCTAGACAGGGAAATGAGAATGCCAGACTATTATTTACTAGGAAAGCAAGAACAGTGCCTCCATCTGTATTAAAACATGAAAATGCAGAGGACTCTTAAATGCCTAGAATATGTCTGAAAAGACACATAAGAAACTGGTTCATGGTGGCTGTCTGTGGTCAGGAAGCTGAGGGGTTTGGGGTGGGAAGGAGACTAATCCTTAACTGTAGTACTATTTTGAACTCTTTGACTTCCCTTTAACCATGTGCATAATATATATATAATATAGATATGGATTATATATGCATATATGATAGATATATGCATTGTGTGTGTGTGTGTGTGTGTGTGTGTGTGTATAAAATTTTTTTAAAGATAGTCTCACTCTGTCAGCCAGGCTGGAGTGCAGTGGTGAGATTATGGCTCACTGCAGCCTTGACCTCTCCCAGTTCAAGCAAGTCTCCAATCTCAGCCTCCCAAGTAGCTGGGACTACAGGCACATGCCACCATGATGGCTAATTTTTGATTTTTGATTTTTTGATCCCAGAGATGGGGTCTGGCTATGTTGCTCAGGCTGGTCTCAAACTCCTGGATGCAAGTGATCCTCTCACTTCAGCCTCCCAAAGTGCTTTTCAACTAAAAAAGGAAAAAGATGTCTGGAGGAGAGACCTTTGCTCAGCATAGGTGAAGGAAGTTCAGTGTGTATAACTCGTTCAAGTTGAGGACAGGCAGGCTTCTTTGAGCCACTTGGTCATATCCTTGCCACTTCCCCCTACCTCCAATCCAGGGTAGTCTCATTTCAATCAGGGATGCACATCTTACTGCAAAAATGTCCTTCTTTTCTGACTGCCTCAGCGTCAGACTCTGACGTGGCTTTGAACACTTTCCTCAGATATCTTGAAGTGTTTAGAAGATTATAATAGTAACAGTAATAATAGCTTACATTTATTAGGCACTCAGGACAGGGTACCAGGCACTGAGAATTTTTCATGGATCATTTTGCTTAATTTTCAGAGCAAATTATGAGTTAGGTACTATTATTACTTCTATCTTTATAGAAGTGGAAGCTGAGTTGCAGAGAGGCTAAGCTTGCCCACAGTTACATAGCTAGGAAGAGGTGAAGCCAGGATTTCCATACTAAAGTTCCGTATTCAGTCTCTTCCTGCTTGAAATACTTTGTGTGGTTTCTGTTTTCCTGGCTGAACCCTGGCTGATATAGGTACTATCCAAGAGAAAGAGCTGACTCAAGATGCTCCAAGGATTCACAGGAGAAATCAGACTGAGGAGGGAGCAGGGAGTACGCAGGGATGTGGGTGAATGTATGTATATGAGTATTGTATAGGTCAGGGCCTAGTCAGGAGACAGAAACCACATAATAATTCCAACAGGGAAGACAGAACATAAAGAATTATTAACTAGGAGCAGGGGATTGGCTATACTTAGAGAGTAAAAGAGAACTCTAACAGATCTAGAATAAGCTTAGAAGAGGTGTTCCTCTTTGGAAAGGGTGGGGCTGAGGCACTGAATGGTGTAAAAGTTTGCTGAGGTCAAGGTCAAACAGGTCAACCCTGGCAACTGCTGGGTGTGAACCAAACTCATTGGGAAGCTGCCTGCCATTGAACCTGCCAGGAGGTTACTGAAGAGAACCTTAGCTAGGAAACTTTTTGGGTAGCTGCCCCAAGGTGCTCCTGAACTTTTGCGGGGGTGAGAGTCACTAGGTATTCTACATGTGGACCAAGTATTAGAGCTTTGTCAGAGTAAGAAAAAAGGAACGCACTCCAGAACCAGGAAGAGA